ACACCTACAACTGACATACCACATAGCTGCACAATTAACTTCCCGAACTTCGAGGGCCAGTATTTCGTAGGGTTAGCTACTTTGACTCCTTGCCATCTTGCTACGGCACGAAAAGTGCAAAAACGCATAATCGCACTGGCCCGTCTGGTGCGTTCCAGCCTGGGTTCATCTCGAGACCTACAAAAGCTACAGGGCTGAAACTTTGGGAAAATAATTTACATGCACGTACGGGCCCCCTTCCTGAAATGGGCTGTCTTACCTGCGTGATACCCACGTAAGAGCCTGCCATAATTTTTTACGGGTAAGCCGCTAACTCGGGGACCAGAAATGCTTGGACGCTGGAATTTTAAGGAGATATTCCCCGTTAAAGTACGTATTAATGAGCTCAGACTCAGCCCCCGGATAAGTGTGGTACCCGCGTACGGACCCGCCAGTTTCTTTTCGGGTAAGTTGATAACTCAGGAATTTGAAAAGCTAAAGGGCTATAATTTTAAGAGGATATTGCTCGTTCACCTAAGTCTCATTGAGCTCAAGCCGGGTACGCGTGGTGCTTACACACGGGCCCGTGAAAATTTTTCTCCAGTAAGTTGCTAACTCAGAAGCCAAGAAAGCTAGAAAGCTGAAATTTTAAAGGGGTATTTCCTGACAGTTCTGGCGGCCAGTCTTAATTTGTTTAACTAGAAGCATTTGCCGGAAAAACTGGTGTCGATAGCGACAAAAAATGCAGGGAACTATGCAAAGAACGTATCTTCGCACAGACAGCCCGTGCGTTGGCCAATTATTGTAATTGTGCTTTGGAGCCTTTACAGTCAATATTCATGTCCCATATTAGTTACGATCTCCAGACTTAACAATCCTCCCAAGCTTCTCTTCCTGTCCATCTGTATCCTCCTCCCCCGATCCCTGTAACTCACTTTCCAACCCCGTCGAATCGAATCTAGTAGCTCCCTCGCGCAACTATTTTGCATGGCAAATATAAAGTTGGACTCGGCCCAATCTTTTTTAATTGAAACGAGTTGCGATAACAGACGAGATGACAGGGAGGGGACGGCTGAGAGTGGAGAACTGGAATCGATGGTTTACGCCCCGAGAATCGTAACAAGAAGAAGGGAACAAACTGTTTGGAAACGAACAGAGATCTTGCTTGGAGGTAGGAATTGGAAACAGGCAGGTACTTAAGGGGAAGGGAGTTAGCAGAGAATTCAATACTGAGAGTATTTAGCAGATCATTTTAAAATGTCCGGGCGCTATGGTGAAGGGAGATAAGCGCTTGCAATCCTATGTATCTTGTACACCTTCTCTTTTCACTTCATATTCTACATTGGAACTTATTCGCTCTCAGCTTTACGTAAGCACTAACTTCATAGATGGGAAATTCCCTTCCTGCTGATCATGAATTTTACGGGGCAATTTCCGCTCATACGGACCTTGATTTTTTTTGCTTTTGCTTTTTTTTTTGCTTTTATCCGTAAGTCCCGAATCTTTGACATTGCATTTTTATCGCTTTTTTTTTTCATAAGTTCAGGCTTGCTTTAATTTTTTTTGCAATGCTGTGTTTCTTTCCTTTTCCCGATGCCTGCATTTCTTGCCTCGAGCAACTGACTTGTATCTCGTTCCTCTTCTTTACCTTGTTCGGAAATCCTCCTGCAAAGCAACCTTCGAGCTCTTCTTCATCCGCACCATAAGAACTCTCTGGAAGCAAGTAGTATTTCAGCCCTTTTCCTACTCCGGATATCCGTGGCAAAAACAAGCAGCACGCTTCCTTCTTTCCACCAATCATCCCCGCGTCCCCACCCTCACCTGCCCTCCTACCCTCAAACGTACGTAACCCAACCAGCTGATGAAGGAGCTACACTAAGTAGCCATCCAACCCATTTGCCCAACCCCTTCTCTGTCTCGACTCCCCGCGCACGAAACTCGCACAACTCTGTTTACTGCCAACTCACCTACGGCACTCAACTTGTGCACCACGGTAGAGGAAGGTCATTCGCTACCGCCTGAAAAAACTTTTCGCGAGTCGTGCATAGCGCTGGCGAAGCTGAGTTCTAATTCTTGCGGTCTACGTCTTCAACCTGCACAGTGGCTAAACCTGCCTTAGTAATTACAAGCAATTAGTAAGACAGGTTTAGCCAATATGCACGTTTCCGGGTGCCTCCTCAGCTGTGTTCGGTCGCAGGTCATTCTCCGCCTGGTTTGTTTGACTTCCCAAGACTGCCGACGTTCAAGTTCTTGTCTGTGCCCAACGGAATTCTTGCGGTCTATGTTGAAGACGTAGACCGCAAGAATTCCGTTGGGTACAGACAGGGAGAGTTGGGCTGAATTCTAATGCACCTCCACAATCACCGTTGAGGGACTTTTCAATGCAAACACATTGACGCAGAGGGCGCAAACCCTGGTAGCAATCACTCAATCGATAAATGAGAAAAACCAGTGAACAGCATAATAGGAAGTTGAGTAAAACCGACAGAAGGCTCACTGGAAGCGGATCTTCGAAAGTGGAAGTCATCATCGCTGCGTAGCACCACACCCTGGGGAGTGCCAGGCACTTCGTTTGGAGAAGTCCATGGCCTAAGCTAACAATTATCTCAGCACGATATCCGTGCGTCCCAGGTAGCTTCCCCAATGGGCATACAGTGACTAATTGCCCAATTCTGGTTTTAGTGGTCTGTCGGCTTAAGAAATGCTTCCTCAATATTTCTTTTGTTTTAACATTTCAAGCAGTACGCTGCCCTCCCCAGCAACAACAGTGACTGCGATCCCAATCTCCCTTGCACCTGTCTTTTGCAGTTCGTCCGTTTAAGTGATCTGCATGTCTCCGGATGTGCTCATCACGGTGCGTAGCCAGCTTGGTAGAGCCTAGCAATCCTGTTACTGTGCCTGTGGGAACGATAGTGCACAATGCATTTATTGAGGCTGTGAATAACTGTGATAAGAGAGTAACAATAACGACAAGTCAGAAAAATAGAACATTAATAACTATGCATCGACTGCCGCCTGCCTGCCTGCCTTGCTAGCAACAGATGAAACGAGCAAAAGCCAACAAATGGTGCAAATATAAGCATAAAAATGATGGTGGTCGCAAGAGGACTGAAGCACATCCGTCCTCGCAAACCGAGAAATTGCCAGAAACCTCCTAAGCAAATGAATAGTCACTGCACGGAATTAGCGATCAG